TATATATCATAGACTGCTTGGACATGAGTTTGATGATTTAATGTTCAGGTCACACATGCCAAAACATTTCTCGGCACCAAACTTACCAGATTTAAACAGATCACAAGTAATTAATCAATACTTGATAATGTGAATTTTTTGCTCTGATTATACCTATAATATTACATTTTAATGTTCATCATAGGTTTATGCAGTTAAGCATGCTGTACAACGTCCTCTGTCTTTAATTCAAGGACCTCCAGGAACTGGTAAAACTGTGACTTCCGCTACAATTGTTTATCAATTAGTGAAAATTAATGGTGGACCAGTGTTAGTATGTGCTCCTTCAAATATTGCAGTGGATCAACTAACAGAAAAAATTCATAGGACTGGTTTAAAAGTATGAAGTTTTGGTATTAGATGATATAAGTTTTTATTAATATAATTTATTTTAGGTTGTCCGTGTGTGTGCAAAATCTCGTGAAGCTATTGATTCTCCAGTTTCGTTTTTAGCTCTTCATAACCAAGTCCGGAAGATGTCATGGTAATTAATTTTATTATAATTTTAGTGTTGTRAATTTGGATGTTCTAATTTTATATTCTTTGTAAAGCAATGTTGAGCTTCAAAAGTTTCAACAGTTGAAAGATGAGACTGGTGAATTGTCGATGGCTGATGAAAAGAGATATCGTGCTCTGAAGAAAGCAGCTGAACGAGAATTACTTAAAGCTGCAGATGTAATTTGCACTACTTGTGTTGGTGCTGGAGATCCTCGTTTAGTACGATTTAAATTTCATTCCATCTTGATAGATGAAAGCATGCAAGCTACAGAACCGGAATGTATGGTACCGGTTGTGCTTGGAGTAAAACAGGTAATTATAAAATAATATTTTATTTTATTTTTAAATTTTAAATTTATTATTTTATTTTTAGTTAATTTTGGTTGGAGATCATTGCCAACTTGGACCTGTGGTAATGTGTAAAAAAGCTGCTAGAGCTGGATTGAGTCAATCTCTTTTTGAACGTCTTGTAGTTTTGGGAATTCGTCCATTCCGGTTGGAAGTTCAGTATAGAATGCATCCAGAACTATCACGATTCCCTTCAAATTTCTTTTATGAAGGATCATTGCAGAATGGAGTTTGTGCTGGTAATAACATATTTTTCATATTAACAGTATGYAGTGTAATAATTTATTATTATCCTGTGAATCTAGATGATAGAAAGTTAAGTAAAATTGAGTTTCCCTGGCCGGTGGCAGATAAACCAATGTTATTTTACGTGACACAAGGCCAAGAAGAAATAGCAGGTTCAGGAACGTCATATTTAAATAGAACAGAAGCTGCTAATGTTGAAAAAATTGCCACTAGATTTTTGAGATGTGGTGTTAAACCTGATCAAATAGGAATTATCACACCATATGAAGGACAACGTGCCTACTTGGTAAGTTAAACCCATATGATAAGCTTATTAATGATCTATTAAATATTTATATTTTGTAAAAATACTTTTTCAGGTACAATATATGCAATATCAAGCCCCCCTACCAGCTAAAGTATATCAAGAAATCGAAATAGCTAGCGTTGACGCATTTCAGGGTCGAGAAAAAGATTTAATTATTATGTCTTGTGTGCGTTCCAATGAACACCAGGGAATTGGTTTTCTCAACGATCCCAGGCGATTGAATGTTGCACTGACTAGAGCTAAATATGGAATATTGATTGTTGGGAATCCAAAAGTTTTATCAAAAGTATATAAAATAATTTACTCATTATTTTCCTTGTAACTGATAAGAATTAATTTTAGCAACAATTATGGAATCATCTGTTGAATTACTATAAAGCAAATAATGTATTGGTAGAAGGACCATTGAATAATTTGAAAGAGTCTCTTATTCAACTGTCTAAACCCAAACAGTTRGTGAATGCAGCTAATCCAGGATCACATTTCATGACAACTCATATGTACGATGCTCGTGAAGCTTTGATACCTGGCAGCGTTTATGATCGTAGTAATCAAGGAAATGTACCTAATAATCATGGTACACCTCAATATTTTCCTAGACCAGGACCAGGTACTATTATTATCATATGTTTATAATAATAAATTCAGAACTTTTAAACTATAAAATTATTTTCTTATAATAGTTAATAGTTAATACCTTTAATCTTTTTAATATTGTGTTCATAGGTCCTGCTGTTGGAATGGGTTTGGATTTATATACTMGTAATCATGATCCATTAACGTTCATCACACCAGATTCTAGATCTCAACCACAAATTGGTGGGATCCCTGTTGGCATGGTGATGAATATGAATTCAATGGCTCCCAGATTCTTTAATCAACAATCTGTTCAAAGTAAGTTTATATAATAAGTATCTTCTAAATATATTMAATTCACTAATATTCATATTCTATTTGTACCTATCTTTGTCTTGTAATGACATGAATGGGTTACCAARCAACAGATAAAATCTGGCTGGACTGCTCAAAATATGATCTAGCTTTGAGTGTTGTGTTATAATTTAATTTTTATATGACAATGAGAATTTAGTACTAACATTAGTATAAAATAAATTTATTTAACTGTATAGTAGCTTTGGCTTTAATTAACTTTAGAAATCCTAAAATGGTGGACCGATATTTTGCCTATCCATTGCTAATTTTAACATCTAGTTCATTGTATATAAATGTTTGTATAGATCGCCAAAATATACGCACCAATCGTCTGCCAATGACTAGTGGTCGTTTGAAGTCTAAACCAAATCAGAAGAATCAAAAATCAAATGGAATCAATGCTTCGCCACTCAGCCAAGCAATTACTCAAGATGTTTCTCAGCCATACAGTCAAAACATGTCRCAGGTATTTATTTTGCACTGTCTAATATCGAAAAATTCTATAGTGCTCTAACKTATAACTGCATTTTTTAGAGCATGTCTCAACCTGGGTTCAGTCTTTCRCAACCTGGACTATCTCAGCCTGATCTATCCCAGGATAGTTACATGATGGGTGAGTTTCATTCGCAAATGGATGGATTGCTCTCACAAGATTCAACATATCAAGGTGACCGTACTGTCACGTCATTTTATAATCCACCAAATACATTGTACTCTCAGGTAAATCAATTYTACTTTTTCAGTGATAATTGTATCATTATTTTGTGATCATTTTTTATTCTAATTTTATTATACAGCAACCATATTGAAAACATTTTACAATGGACAAGTACATCCAATGAGCACGTGGGAACGTCTTGTTGGTGCTGATATATCAACAGAAAAAAGAATATTTTTATTATTGAGCGTCGTATGCAGACATCATGACCAACAAATGTTAGCACATAAAGTGTTTATGGGAAAAAACTAAAGGCTTAGATGAACATTTACAATTGATTTTATATAACTATTGTATGTGGTGAACAATACATGTTAAAATTTACGCTATTGAACTGTTTTTGAGAAAACAATGTTTTTTGCATGTTATTTGTTTAACATATTTATTTTATTTTATTTGTTTATTTATTTATTTATTTTTTTTTGTTTATTTTTATTGACACGTATGTATTTACAGTCTTGCCCTTTTTTTTTTTTTGAGTTCAAAAAGATATGTTCCAAGCCTTTCTATTACTATCAAAATTTGGAGTTCTTAAATTAAAACAATGAACCCAATAATAAACAAATATTATAGTTCTGTAACTATTCAAACATTTAATTGTGTATCAACAGTTTTATCACAAATTTGATGTCAAAAAAATAAAATTTTTAATTTAGTCTACATTTTCTTATAATAATAATAATAATTTTTATTTCTGAGTTCAATGTAATTGTGTTCAGTAATTTTTAACACTAACAAATATGGGCAGACTATTTTGTTTGTATGTTTATAAAAATAACAAAACAAATTGTGCTTTATTTGGAGATAAATGAAAAAGTATATTTTTAATTTCCATGGTATTTAAGAGCTAATCTTCCATCCCATAATTATGGGATTATACTTTGATGTCAAGCAGTTGTGGAATTGACTTGAGTTATTTAAAAATGTCAATTGATCAGTAATCAATTCAAATTATTTTATTTTTATGTTATTTTTCGATGYCAATTATTTGTTGGTTCACCTAAAAATTATATGATTAAGTCAAAGTAACATACATGAAATATTTTTTATTTTATAAAAAAAATGAATTCTCTAAATTACGTTAAATTATAATGCATACTCTACCTAATTTATTACTGAGGTTTATGATTATTTGTTGTTAACACAATTTTTATGAAGTGAAATCTTTTGTAATCAATCTTACAAAAGGAAATTAATTTTATGTGGTGATTGTATAAATATTAAATATTGAGTGTAAACTCTGATAGTTAATTTCATGATACATAAATATTCTCCTATTTTAAAGCAAGTTTGGTTAAAAATTAAATTTTTTTTTCTCTTTCAATTATTATACATTTATAATATAACTGTTGTTYGTGYATAAAAAAAGATCATAATTCAGCATTAATATAAATGTTTATCAATTTAGGTTTTTATTTATATATTCAAAAATTCATCAATTGATAACATTTTGTGATGTATTTTTAAATGAATTAATGTTATGAAAGTAAATGAAGATTTTTATTGGGGATAACTTCTATAATACTTGGTGATAGGTATATGTAATATATGATATGTACCTAATACATTTACATTATTGTTATAAACATTTATAATAAATTAATGTGATTATAATAGTGTATTATACGCATTTTAGGTGATAAGTTTATTTTATGTTTAGCAAAAACGTTGTAACTTATCTTATGGGTTGGTTGTTATGACTTATTTTGAATAAAATTGAATTTTAATTGTACCTATGAAAAATTGAACAAAATTGTTTTGATTTTATAATTAGTATGGATGTTACACCGTTCATACGTATATCTAAATAATTACATTTAATATTACCTATATAATAATATAAGCTTACAGTTGTTGAAGCAATAAAATACCTAAAATGTATCATAGGCCATTTAAAATTAAGGNCAACCTGGACTATCTCAGCCTGATCTATCCCAGGATAGTTACATGATGGGTGAGTTTCATTCGCAAATGGATGGATTGCTCTCACAAGATTCAACATATCAAGGTGACCGTACTGTCACGTCATTTTATAATCCACCAAATACATTGTACTCTCAGGTAAATCAATTYTACTTTTTCAGTGATAATTGTATCATTATTTTGTGATCATTTTTTATTCTAATTTTATTATACAGCAACCATATTGAAAACATTTTACAATGGACAAGTACATCCAATGAGCACGTGGGAACGTCTTGTTGGTGCTGATATATCAACAGAAAAAAGAATATTTTTATTATTGAGCGTCGTATGCAGACATCATGACCAACAAATGTTAGCACATAAAGTGTTTATGGGAAAAAACTAAAGGCTTAGATGAACATTTACAATTGATTTTATATAACTATTGTATGTGGTGAACAATACATGTTAAAATTTACGCTATTGAACTGTTTTTGAGAAAACAATGTTTTTTGCATGTTATTTGTTTAACATATTTATTTTATTTTATTTGTTTATTTATTTATTTATTTTTTTTTGTTTATTTTTATTGACACGTATGTATTTACAGTCTTGCCCTTTTTTTTTTTTTGAGTTCAAAAAGATATGTTCCAAGCCTTTCTATTACTATCAAAATTTGGAGTTCTTAAATTAAAACAATGAACCCAATAATAAACAAATATTATAGTTCTGTAACTATTCAAACATTTAATTGTGTATCAACAGTTTTATCACAAATTTGATGTCAAAAAAATAAAATTTTTAATTTAGTCTACATTTTCTTATAATAATAATAATAATTTTTATTTCTGAGTTCAATGTAATTGTGTTCAGTAATTTTTAACACTAACAAATATGGGCAGACTATTTTGTTTGTATGTTTATAAAAATAACAAAACAAATTGTGCTTTATTTGGAGATAAATGAAAAAGTATATTTTTAATTTCCATGGTATTTAAGAGCTAATCTTCCATCCCATAATTATGGGATTATACTTTGATGTCAAGCAGTTGTGGAATTGACTTGAGTTATTTAAAAATGTCAATTGATCAGTAATCAATTCAAATTATTTTATTTTTATGTTATTTTTCGATGYCAATTATTTGTTGGTTCACCTAAAAATTATATGATTAAGTCAAAGTAACATACATGAAATATTTTTTATTTTATAAAAAAAATGAATTCTCTAAATTACGTTAAATTATAATGCATACTCTACCTAATTTATTACTGAGGTTTATGATTATTTGTTGTTAACACAATTTTTATGAAGTGAAATCTTTTGTAATCAATCTTACAAAAGGAAATTAATTTTATGTGGTGATTGTATAAATATTAAATATTGAGTGTAAACTCTGATAGTTAATTTCATGATACATAAATATTCTCCTATTTTAAAGCAAGTTTGGTTAAAAATTAAATTTTTTTTTCTCTTTCAATTATTATACATTTATAATATAACTGTTGTTYGTGYATAAAAAAAGATCATAATTCAGCATTAATATAAATGTTTATCAATTTAGGTTTTTATTTATATATTCAAAAATTCATCAATTGATAACATTTTGTGATGTATTTTTAAATGAATTAATGTTATGAAAGTAAATGAAGATTTTTATTGGGGATAACTTCTATAATACTTGGTGATAGGTATATGTAATATATGATATGTACCTAATACATTTACATTATTGTTATAAACATTTATAATAAATTAATGTGATTATAATAGTGTATTATACGCATTTTAGGTGATAAGTTTATTTTATGTTTAGCAAAAACGTTGTAACTTATCTTATGGGTTGGTTGTTATGACTTATTTTGAATAAAATTGAATTTTAATTGTACCTATGAAAAATTGAACAAAATTGTTTTGATTTTATAATTAGTATGGATGTTACACCGTTCATACGTATATCTAAATAATTACATTTAATATTACCTATATAATAATATAAGCTTACAGTTGTTGAAGCAATAAAATACCTAAAATGTATCATAGGCCATTTAAAATTAAGGTAAGAGGCAGGTAAGGTCTTGAGAAGTAGAAGTTATTCTTGGGAAAACAAAATATTAATATAAATGTCATATGTGCTTATCTCAGGACGATATTGAATATGATTCTGCGATTTCTCTTACCTACAAGCTGAGCAATATTTAGTTAATAAATAACATCGAAAGATTAAAAATATAAACAAAAACAATAATGCACACGAAGAAATAAAAGAACGAGTAGTTAGTACGAACAGATGTTATAACAGTTTGCTATCACTGTTCAATTCGAAACTTGAASTTATTCTTATTATCGAGAGAATCGAAGATAATTTTATACACAAGCTATCGGAGACCGGTGTTGACGTATGAACTAGAGACTTGGGCTTTTGCAAAAATCGATTTCTACAAAACGTTGAGTACAATAGAAAGAAAAATACTCCAAAAACTATTTGACCCAGTTTATAATGTAGAAATGCGGTGAAATTAGATATTAAAAGACCTACAAGATATGTATGTACGGAAGCCGTCAGATATCCTAACGTATTGCAGAAGCAAGAGGATAGAATGTGATGCTGGGCATGTACATATTATATGGAAATCGGAAGGAAAAACTATAAAACGTGTCATAGACTCATAGGCGGAAGAATTGTAGGGAAAAGGCCTACAGGAAGACTCCGAACAAGATGGAGAGATGTTGTGGAAAAGGATATAACGATGATCCGTGAAAGTATACGATTATTATGGASGACGCGAATGATTGAGACTGCAGATGGAGTGAATTAATGGTGGCGACGATGGGCRYAGGTACTAGGCCAGCTTAGCTGTTAAGAWGCAAAAGGAGAAGAAGTTAGAACTAGTACTAGGTACTATACGGCCCCCACAAGGGAGGATGGTCAGAAGGACTCATATGGACACGAGACCAGTGCCCGGGGTTAATGTAAATAATTATTTCAA